CCTGGATTTTAAAAGCATAAAGTTTCTCACTGTTACTCCGTATCTAATTATGTCCAAAGGTGTGGGCTATCAGCAGATCAGAACATGAATGAATTTGGATATCATGACGTCATTAGACGTGATTTGTACTATATATTGTGAAACAATGTAAATTTGTCAACCGCCAGCATTTTGCCATATAAATAAAAGGTTGTATTGTGCAATAAATTTTGGATTTTTGTACGATTTTGCATGAATACAATGAAGTACTTTGCGCTGTCAGGAATCTTATTTGCTGTATAAACCAAAAACAGACCTCATGTGTTCATGTTTCCATTAATAATCTCTCAATTGATTTTCCAAAACTGTATCATAAAAGATTTTAACCATATTGCCCAGTGTTAAAGCTCCAGTGTGGAGGAGACTCAGCAGAAATAGTGTATAATATAATAAGTATGTTTTCTTTAGTGTATAATCACCTGAATATAAGAATTGTCATGTTTTCTTTCCCTCAGAATGAGACGTTTATATCTACACAGGGAGCAGGTCCTCGTCTACAGAGATCACCATGTTGCAGCGCCATGTTTCTACAGTAGCTCAGAGCAGACAAACCAAACACTGACTCTAGATAGAGACATTTGTTGCCCACCTACAACAAACAGCGCTGGATAAACACTATTATGTGAGACTGCTTTATTCAGTATTTTACCGATTCAAATCAGCTGGTCTGTTTGTTTCTGAGAGAAAGATACCTCTGTGGATAATTCAGCTCCTGGTTAAAACCTCCTGAACAGCGAAGGAAGGAATTCTAACCAGGAGAAGTTTCAGCTGGTTGTAATCGGCAGTCCTCACCGCTCAACACCACTAAATCTGACACACTGCTCTTTAGTTTACAGCAGGACGCAGACAGGATTGCCAAAATCATTTGGTTCTCTGCCCAAAGTCAAAATAATATCATGCAATTTGGAAATACAGTTCAATAGAAGTGGACTGTGTGTTTCAGAGAACAAAGCCCTGCACACGTCAAACTGAGGAACCTAGACTCTGTCAGTGAGGCAAGAACGTCTGCAACGATTCAGTGGAACAAACAAAACCTTCAAGTACATGCTGACTCAAGGTGTGAAAAGCCACCACAACTATCACCCGAAAAAAATAGTACCAAAGCTGCAGCTTGTTCTCACCCTGAGCAGTCTGCCCTCGTTCAGTTTCCTCTTCACTACCGAGGGTCAAAAAAACCCCAAATAGAGAACACAAAGCCACATCTGTTCAAGAATGAGTCTACAGTGTACACCACATGATTAAATTCAGCCTGAGTCTGAACTGTCAAATCACCTTTAACACAGGTGACGATCAGTGTTTAGTTTTATTACGTGATCGTTCAGTTGGTATGTATTCTTTGTACAAATCATTTAATCTCCTTAAACACATCAGCGGCTGCACTGCTGAGAAGCCTCAATAACTGAGACTGACCTGCTGTCTCATGCTCATCAAGAATAACCCTGCAGATGGGATTCCATTTCAACATGCACTTGTTTCTCCTCACACTGGTGGAGGGCTGTTCGAGCCAAACCACAGGACAGGAAACTGCTTCGGTTAGAGTGTACACTCTCAAAACTGCGTTCAAAGATAAACCAGCACGCTCAGATCACAGCACAAATTCATGTGTCGCTGTCAGAAGGGGGTTATACTGTGTAAATGGAAAACTGAGCACAGAATTGAAATTAAAATTTAAACTACAGGATTCTGTTTGATGAACACTTTGTCTCTTTGAGCCTGGCCTGAGAAGAGTTTACTGTTTTACATGTAGGGAGATCAGAATCATCAGTTTTGTCTTAGTTTCCTCCAGAGTCAGTGAAATACCTCAGCGTTTACTGGATGGATCTGCTCAACATTCAGTTCAGATATTAATTTTTCACGTGATTATACACTAAAGTCACCTTGCACAGGTGGGGAATGAGGGTGGGTTGTGTGGAGCGAAAGGAACCGTGGTGCACATCCTATCAGGGTGCAAAGCAGCTCTGACCCAGGGGAGATACAGGTGGCGCCATGACAAGGTACTCACAACAACATGACAACATCTTGGAGCAGGTAAGACTAAAGAAACACCCAGCTATAACAAAGACACTGTGGAGTTCCATCAGCTTTTAAAAGAGGGTCAGAAGCCTGTTGTCCAAGGCGAAGCAAAACAAAATCTGCTCAGTCCATCCAGAGATGAGAAATGAGCGCTGATCAGGGAGGAAAACTTCAGTTCCCCGAGGAAACACTGTCCACAACTCTGAGACCAGACATCAGCATGTCGTCTCAGGAGGGAAGGAAAGTAATCCTGACGTGGTCACCACTGCCAGCCCATCAGCTGCAGAGTGTTACCCACGGCAACAACAAGCATGGCTGAAAGTGAAATGATGATCCACTCCTTGGTGGTTCCATATAGAGGAGCAGCTTCAGTAGTGTGGAATAAACTTTGACTTCTCTTAGCGCTCAGAGGGAACTCATTCAGTGGCTCCTCTGGCAGCAGCACAGCATCTCTCCCTCTCCTCTCTGATTCTGTCACAAACCTTTGGTGATGGAAACCTACGTGAATAAACTCCATATATGTGACTGTATCATAACAGCCTGTCACAGGTTACAGCCTGATGGTTACAGATGATTTATATATATATATATATAGATGCCAGGGGACACTTTGTTAAATGTGTAATTAGTGATAGATTTGATTTCTGTTGTTGTTCACAAACTAAAGAAATCAGAGATCATTTTTATTTAGTTTTACTCAAGATTTGAAGCAAACTGTGAAACTAGATCACTGATTCTGTTGTAATTCTATGTTCTTACTCATTTGTCACATCATCAAGAACATCATTATCACTAAAATACCCTGAATTATTGTGATATTATTTTAGGACCCTATCACACACCCCATCTTTCAACTGTTTTTCACTCTGTGAAATATTTTCACACCTTTTTTTTCCATTTGTACTTTTCTGCTGAAAGATCGGCCCGGAGGTTTAAACAGTGGGTGACAGACTCATGAACAGGAAGCTCACAGCATGTTGATACTTGTCACAGAGCATCAATTGGTTCACACCACAGTGGTCTCATTAACACCACCATGACACCTGAGCTACGAAGACACATTTTGTAAATGTGAAGGTAAATACTCTCTGATACTTTCTGAGTGTTCAACATTTCTTCAGTCGTTCAACATTTAATATTTCCTTCAATAAAAGGCCTTAAAGTTTTCAGAATCACAATAACCTTCACGTCTTAAATCCAGTAAGATAAGTGGGATTATCTCATTTTCCATTCAGAGGACGTCCCCTTTTCTTTTCAGGCTCTGTGTAACAACATTTACACATCATAGAAACCCTGATGTCTTTCTGCTCAGGACAGAAGCTGATATCAGTCTTATATTCCTGTTTTGGTCCCCATGTGACTCTGCTGTTCAATCCTTGTGGCAACATTTACATTTTCTTTAACGTACACTCACGGACATTTTGAAAGTCTTATATCCACTGGATGTCTCTTCCACTACCATGAAATCTACCATTTAGCCTTAATTATGACAGAGACACAGGAGGTAACAAAGCTAGAAAAACTTTAAAAATTGTATGAGATGAATTAATCTCTGTAATATTTCCTCCACTCTTTCACATTTGAATTCATCGTCACCCCAGGATCAATCGAGAAAATGCAACAAACGTTCAGCCCTGACATTTGGACACACACAGACAAACTGTATATCACAACATTAAGGCATCTGAGGAAAACAGCATTACAAAATACATTATCAAAATATAAAAGCATCTGTACAGTGGACATGATGCATAAAGTGGAGCTGACTATGGTCCCTGTACACTGCAAATATTCTCTACTTATATATACAATGAACATTTACACATTCCCTGATGATTATTTTTGCACATCGTGCACAAAACCCAACAGCTCTGTCATTCTGGAACGGTTTTTATATATATCTTAATAGTACTGTAATATTGTACATATGTTACAGTAATTCTTAAAGTATCTTCACATTTGTAAAGTAATTTTTCATTCAGTATTTATGTTCTTGACTTCTGGAGCACTTGGACCTTATTTTTTATTTCCCCCTTTAAAAAATTGAATTTCCCCTCAGAGGGATTAATAAAGTATATAAAAATAAAATTAATTAATTCATTAAATTAAAATTAAATTTATAAATTTATTCTGAGCACCTAAAACACCAGACGCAGATTCCTTGTAACTGAAACGCTGCCTGTCAATAAACCTTATTCTGATTCTGAGTGTATCTGACAGGCTGTTATGGAATTAAATGTCTCCATCATGAGTCACAGACGGTGACCTCCTGACATTTGGGTCAAAATATGGACAATCTGTGCATTTCCTAAAAGCCAACAGCGCCCTCTTCTGGACGACTCGGCTAATGTCAAATCAGAGAAGATGACTCATTAACAGATTGTTTCATTGGTCTCTTAAAGGGATAGTGCACCCAAAAATGTAAATTCAGCCATTATCTACTCATCCATATGCCGAGGGAGGCTCAGGTGAAGTTTTAGAGTCCTCACATCACTTGCAGAGATCCAAGGGGAGAGGAGGTAGCAACACAACTCCACCTAATGGAGGCTGACGGTGCCCCAGATTCAAACGTCCAAAAACACATCATTGAAACCACAAAATATCTCCATACTGCTCGTCCGTAGTGATCCAAGTGTCCTGAAGCCCCGACATAAAAAGTTGTTTGGAAAAACTTCACTTGAACTCTGTTTTTAGCCTCATTGTAGCCTGTAGCTCTGACTGCCTCTCTGTGCACTGCGCTCACGTGTGCACTTGCGCGAGACTGTGAGACGTGGGCACCGCGTTCATGTGTGTTCATGTGCTTTTGCTGGTCTCGCCCGCAAGTGCACACACGTGAGCGCAGTGTATCTGTGATTTCTGTTTCATATTTATGTTTATCAGAGAGGAGGAGCAGCAGGAGGTCGGATCTGACAATCGCTGATGATGTTAAGACACCTGGAATCCACCAAAAGTTTTCATAAGTTTATTTTGAAAAGGTCACGATGTTGATGCATGATAAATATCTGCTTCTGAGGTTCACAGCAGAAATGATTTTAAATAGGACCACGATCAGGATGAAACACTGTGAGCATGTTTTAGACAGAGTGTGAAATGACATAATGTAGCTGAATGTTTTTTTTTAAACACAGGCAGGTAAAAATAATGAAAAACATATTATTCATATAAAAATTAAAAAGTACTCACCTCATTAAAAAGATCACATAAATAAGGGACGCAGTAAATTATAGAGGAGGCATCAAAACAGAAGTTTAAAGGCTGAGAGAGAAACGTCTCCAGGTGACGCGACAGGCCGATCAGAGTGACGACGGCTGTGAAATAAAACGTAAACTGATCTGAACCGATAAATACTGTTCACTGAGATTCACTCTGTGTCCAGCTAATGTCCCTGCACAACAGTTTGTGCTTCAGTGTTCACACAGTTCCACATATTCCCACCTGTAAGAGTCTCAGTTCAAACACTGTCGCCATCTGCTGGCGAAGGAACGAAAGGCAGCAGTTGATTAGTCGGAGGAGGAGTTCTTCATCTCCCTGAACCTCCTGTGTCTCCCAAACAGTCTGGAGGATTTAAAAGTGTGTGTGTGTGGAGGCCACACACTTCCTTTTCAAGGAATATTATTTTTTGTTGGTCATCCAAAGTCAACCAGACATCTGAATCTTACATTTGTCCACCTGTTTGTAGATGTATGAGGCTGAGTGACATCAGGAGCTCTGTGACTGGCTGGGTTTGGTGAATTTGCTCTGCAGGAACACTCTGGGAACACAAAGCCCCTCCTTTTTGTTGACCGTCTCCCTCAGGACGTAGTCGTTAGAAACAGATTGGAGGCCGGCGTCCACACACAGCTCAGCCAGGAACTCTGGAAGCAGACGGAAGGAGCAGAATGAGACTTTGGAAGAAGGAAACGATGATGAAGGAGCGTTGAGATGTGTCATGAAAGGTCCAGAAACACGATCAGAGCCTTCACACAACTCAAATTTATTTATAAGGCACATTTAAAAACAAAGTGCTGCACAGAAGGAATAAAATGCTAAAAACACACTCGAGAGGCAACAGAACTGTCAGGTACACAGCTCACACAGTTAGAGACACAACACACACACAGGCACATGTCAGGGGGACTAATGAATAAAAGTAGGTTTTGAGCCTGGATTTAAACGAGTCAGTGGAGGGGGCAGATCTGATTGGGAGGGGGAGGCTGATCCACAGTTTGGGGGCAGACGCAGCAAAGGCTCGATCAGCTCTGAGCTTAAGTTTGGAGCGTGGGACATCCAGGAGCCCCAGGTCAGCTGACCTGAGGGACCTAGACATAGCATATGGGGCTACGAGAACCTTAAAGTCAATTCTAAACCTTATAGGCAGCCAGTGGAGAGATGCTAACACAGGTGTGATGTGGTGTCTCCTCCGGGTTCCTATAAGGAGTCTGACAGCGGAGTTCTGAACCAGCTGGAGGTGGGACAGAGAGGACGGACTAATACTAGTGTGCAGAGAGTTACAGTAGGGACTGTTGGTTGGCTCTCTAGACTATTTTCATACACCAGCATCGCTGAGGCAGCCACAGATATAGATATGAAAAATATTAGCTCCTAAAACAAGTGGAAATCAATCTATCTATCTATCTATCTATCTATCTATCTATCTATCTATCTATCTATCTATCCATCTATCTATCCATCTATGAGCCTCGATGACACAACAAACATGAGAGTGACGTTCCTGAAGTCTTGTACTGACCTTTAGAGAAGAAGTAGGACCTGGTTCCGTCTTGGCGGACGTAGAAGTTCTCCCCCAGCTTGCTGCCGGCTTTAAATCGCAGCATGGCGTGGTCGTGCAGGCCGTAGTCCCTGAACAGGACGATGCCTCCGGGCTTCAGCACCTTAAAGCCACATGTATGTTACATTTACACTGTTTGAACCTGCTTGTGTTAGAGCTGCCACAAACACATGCAGCACGTCTCGCAGCCACGTTAGAAAAATCACCTTTAAATCTATTTTTGGACCGTTTCTCTGTACACACACTAGACTGTGTGTATGTTAGGCATTTATGTATATGATTGTGTATTTTAGGGAGAAGAGAACTCCCAGCATCCAACAGGAAGTCCACACTGAGTCTGTGCTCTCACCCTGCTGATGTTCTGCAACGCCAGCTTCATCTTGTCGGGGTGGATGGCCGACAGCACAAAGATGAGAGTGACGACGTCCACGCTGCCTTCGGCCACATTCTCCCTCAGGTCGTCTTTAGTGAGGTCACACTGGAAGGCACAGCAGCGCTCGGGGCAGTACAGAGGGTTTTGCTGTCGACAGAAGGCAAACAGAGAGAGTTTATTTGTCATATCGTTGTTGTGTGATTGGCCCAGTTTGGAACTACTGGCCTACAGTATTAAAACAGAAGAAGAAGACACACAGGTTATATATTGATAGAGATTTCTTACTTTGACAAACTCAACAGCTCGTGGTGAGAAGTCACAGGCGTAAACAAAGATGTTGAGGTCGTCCTGCAGCAGAGGGAAGATGCAGTTCCCGACGCCGCAGCCGGCCTCCAGCAGCACCAGCTTCTGAGACTCAAACTGCAAATCAGGCAGGACAAAGACAGAAACAGAGACAGAGACAGAGACAGAGACAGAGAGAGACATCATGAATGACGCACACGCTCCCCCGTCTTTTTCTCATCAATAGAGAACATAATAACGACGACCCAACAAGGTCTTCTACTGTAAATGTACTGTCCTGTCTGTCTCCTGCCTGGTGTCCTGTCTGTCTCCTGCCTGGTGTCCTGTCTGTCTCCTGCCTGGTGTCCTGTCTGTCTCCTGCCTAGTGTCCTGTCTGTCTCCTGCCTGGTGTCCTGTCTGTCTCCTGCCTAGTGTCCTGTCTGTCTCCTGCCTGGTGTCCTGTCTGTCTCCTGCCTGGTGTCCTGTCTGTCTCCTGCCTGGTGTCCTGTCTGTCTCCTGCCTGGTGTCCTGTCTGTCTCCTGCCTGGTGTCCTGTCTGTCTCCTGCCTGGTGTCCTGTCTGTCTCCTGCCTGGTGTCCTGTCTGTCTCCTGCCTGGTGTCCTGTCTGTCTCCTGCCTGGTGTCCTGTCTGTCTCCTGCCTGGTGTCCTGTCTGTCTCCTGCCTGGTGTCCTGTCTGTCTCCTGCCTGGTGTCCTGTCTGTCTCCTGCCTGGTGTCCTGTCTGTCTCCTGCCTGGTGTCCTGTCTGTCTCCTGCCTGGTGTCCTGTCTGTCTCCTGCCTGGTGTCCTGTCTGTCTCCTGCCTGGTGTCCTGTCTGTCTCCTGCCTAGTGTCCTGTCTGTCTCCTGCCTAGTGTCCTGTCTGTCTCCTGCCTGGTGTCCTGTCTGTCTCCTGCCTGGTGTCCTGTCTGTCTCCTGCCTGGTGTCCTGTCTGTCTCCTGCCTAGTGTCCTGTCTGTCTCCTGCCTGGTGTCCTGTCTGTCTCCTGCCTGGTGTCCTGTCTGTCTCCTGCCTAGTGTCCTGTCTGTCTCCTGCCTGGTGTCCTGTCTGTCTCCTGCCTGGTGTCCTGTCTGTCTCCTGCCTGGTGTCCTGTCTGTCTCCTGCCTGGTGTCCTGTCTGTCTCCTGCCTGGTGTCCTGTCTGTCTCCTGCCTGGTGTCCTGTCTGTCTCCTGCCTGGTGTCCTGTCTGTCTCCTGCCTGGTGTCCTGTCTGTCTCCTGCCTGGTGTCCTGTCTGTCTCCTGCCTGGTGTCCTGTCTGTCTCCTGCCTGGTGTCCTGTCTGTCTCCTGCCTGGTGTCCTGTCTGTCTCCTGCCTGGTGTCCTGTCTGTCTCCTGCCTGGTGTCCTGTCTGTCTCCTGCCTGGTGTCCTGTCTGTCTCCTGCCTGGTGTCCTGTCTGTCTCCTGCCTGGTGTCCTGTCTGTCTCCTGCCTGGTGTCCTGTCTGTCTCCTGCCTGGTATCCTGTCTGTCTCCTGCCTGGTGTCCTGTGTCTGTCTCCTGCCTGGTGTCCTGTCTGTCTCTGTCCCCCTCACCTCTCTGCATGCCTTGAGCTCTTCAAACTCTCTGGTGGTCCAGTGTCTGTCCTTGAAGAAGTTCGTCGTGTTTCTTTTATAAAACAGGTCCCAGTTCTTCTGCGCGTCTTTCTCCAGCTTCATCAGTTTGAAGTCGGACACCAGAGTCCGCTCCCCGCCGAGTCTGTCCCGCTCCTCCGGGGTTAACTCTCTGGGGGCGGAGGCTTTGGTCTGTCCGAGGACACACGGAGACATTTCATCTTTTGTAACCACGTCTTCTTCTTCAGGAGGTGTTACTTTAATATCACCCGGGAAACTTTGATTTGTCGACAGCGCCATGATGCTGTTAGAAAACCTCGGATTTAGTTGCGTCACAGTTTCTGTCAGCTGCTCCAATAATCTGTAATTTGTGGGGAAACTATCAAACTTTAAAACTTGAGTTGTTTTGATGATAAACGAGACTTAAATCAACTTAAAGTTTTAAAAGTCCTGCGCCTGGTTGCACTTTTCCACATTACTCGTCCATCTTGTCCGTCCCTTAAATTCTTCCGTGGAGCATCACGGGTTGTTTCCGTTTCTTTCCGTTATTATTAACGCTTATTAAGAACTGGATAAAAACTTGAATATTATCATACGTGATTCTCTAATTCGGTGTGTAATTTATCTGCCAACTGATTATATATTTTAGTGGAAAAAAGCAGAATCGCTAACTCAGCTTGTTTCAGCCGGACTCAAACCGGAAGAGGAGTGACCGGGTGACGTAAGGGATGTTTTGCTAACAGCTAGCTTGTGTCGGCTAACTTTGTCTCACAGTTGGTTTCTTCTTCTGGTCTCCCTTAACTTTGAGGACGTCGCTCGGCTCTGTGGATTATTTGACATCCATGTGAGTTACTAACAGTTCCCAACAGACGGAGCCATGAACGGGAGCACCAACCCGCTGCTGGACAAAGAGGAACACGTCCTGAAGCTCGGTGAGAGCTTTGAGAAGAGGCCAAAGTCTTCATTTCACACCATCAGATGTGAGTGTGGAAAAACAAACCTTTAATCTTTCACGTGTTAAAAACAAAGTTTGTCGTCGGAGTGTTAAATGAACTGTTGCTCTGGGATCAGTGGGCTCACATGGACAGGGAGGATGACTCTTACATAACTGAGCCAATTATGTGGATCAGCAAATGAATTAATTTGCATAGAAAAGTATCGTCACACCCACCGCTCCAACATTACATCATCATTTTGGAATAATTTGATTTTGAGACAACTCTAAAGTCATGGATAAATGGGAATATTACCACTTATTATCAATATGTGTTTTGGTAAAATTGATTCTTATGTGAAGGAGTAGAAAGTGGTGGCAGTATGTTACTGCTTAGGGACCGTTCTCTACTTACTACAGGAGAGGGGTGGCTGCAGTGTGAGGGTTACTTTTTTATGTTGTTTTGTTTTTTAATTTTACCAAATTTTTAAATTGTTTTGAGCGATGATCTAAAAAGAAAATCTGCAGAATTCTGTGGAGTGTTTTTTTGTGTGTGTTTCCTGTTTGTCTTTTAGTCATGTTGTTGTTGTTTTTAGATGTATTGTTTTTTGTGCAGAGTTTTATATGTTCAGTGCAAAGTCTTCATCTGTATACGTTTCTATCTAACAGATTAGATAAGTGGTTTGTTGTATTATAATGTGTCATAGTTTAAGGGGTAGGTGTTCACTCAGATCATGTTCCCATCGGTGTTTAACCCCCTGTCAGGGCTTCTTTTAAAAACATGGGAAGAAGGTAACGAGCAATGGAAGAAGAAATGACCCGAAACATTTGCAAGAAATTTGTAAAAAGAAAAGAAAACGGACAATAAAATAACCCGGAAAGACTGCTTAAAAACTATAATAATTCTGTAACATGATTTTTAATTTTGATAATAATAATAATAATGATAATTATTAGATATATAGTTTTCACTTTTTTCCCAATTAAAAAAATAAACTAAACTGCATTTATTTATTTATTTTATTTTGGTTTTTTTTGCGGTTGTGGAACATTTCTTACCAAGTTGCCTTTCCCCCATGTTTTTGAAAGAAATCCCACCAATGAGCTCAGAGTTCAAAGGTTTGAATACTTTCAAAAGGTGCCTGAAAGCAGAAGAAGAAAAGTGATGTCGCTCCAGGTTTAACTTCATCCACATCACTACAGGAGGAGAGTGATAGAAGTCTATGGAGACACTGAGCCTTTATTTGTTACACTCTCTTTAATTTGTTATCTGAGGCCAACGTGAGGCTCTGCAGTGTGAATCTAAACTGTAAATACTGTCGAAAACTAAATTCATTCAGATTCAGATTAGCTTTAATTTCACTGAGTGTCTTTATTTCTCCTGCTTCACAAGCAGTTTCCTTGTGTTATGACTTTCCCTCTCCTCATTAATAAGACTCTCCCCTCCAGCAGGTTCTTCCATGATGCACATGAAGGCAACACTAATACACTGATGACACATTTCTTTTATGATGTCTTTGCTACACTGCATGAAAATTAATAATCTGATTAATTAATAATCTGATTCTTAATATCTGTACTAACCTTTGCACTGTATCGCGCCAACTCAGGTTTTATTTCTGCTGCCTGCATTCGACCAGCAGCTGACCCCGTGACACTGCTGTGCAGGGACGTCTGATTTTTGTCTTTTACCCACAATCCTCCTTTTCAGATGACTTCAAACCAGCGTCTATCGACACGAGCTGCGAGGGAGAGCTGCAAGTCGGGAAAGGAGACGAAGTCACCATCACATTACCTCACATTCCGGTGAGACCGTCCGTCTGTCTGTCTGTCTCCTCTGATTTAACCTGCTGCAGTGAAGTCTGTCTGTGAAGAGAGCAGAGCAGGAAGTCGAATATTTTATCTTCACCTGATTATTAATTCACCAGACACGAAAATTATTCCACAGATTCTTTATTTGTACTGCAGAAGAGAATCATAAGCTACTGTGTGCTGTCAGAAAATCCAACACAACGAGCAGATTATGTGGATTTTTGTTTTTGTTTTAAGAAGTCAAAAAATTGCTTTTTGGTAACTAACTCCATGTTCACAGATGATTAATCACCGATAAACATTTCAGTTTGAGGTTTGTTAAAGCAAACACACACAGACACACACACGTTACATGTTCAGGTTACTGTCGTCCCTCCAGGGCTCCACGCCTCCCATGACGGTGTTCAAAGGAAACAAGCGGCCGTACCAGAAGGACTGCGTGCTCATCATTAACCACGACACAGGGGAGTTTGTACTGGAGAAGCTGAGCAGCAGCATCCAGGTCAAGAAAACCAGGTGAGAGGTCAAAGGTCGGAGAATGTGTGAGACGTGATTGTGATGATGAATCAGAGGAAAGTGAAGCAGAGAGGTCGCTGAGCGTCTGTCCAGATTCATTCGTGTTAACTTCATACTCGCAGGTTTGCAACGAGGTTTTTATCTGAGCAACATGAAGCAGAAAAGTTTTGTCTCGTTTCTCACAGGGACGTTTTGTTATTGAGCTTCAAAATTTCACACTTTTTCTAATTTTTCATTTAGTTGCCTGTGTTTTCGGTGTCATCATCCGTACATTACAGTTCTGTGTATTCAAAGGTCATAACTGACATCTTTGGCTCCATCTTCTGGACACTGGTTATTACTACACCAAAAAAACATCTGTATTATTAGTATTTTGGGGGACAGAAAATCATTAAATTAAACTTTTAGACTCTCCTGTGAGACGATGTTCCTGCAGTTTGGACTCAGAGAGACTGAGAGAACCTGCAGACAATCAGAGATGACTGACAGCAGCTCCGTCTGATTGCTGCATATTTTTCAGGGCGGAGGGCAGCAGTAAGATCCAGGCACGCATCGAGCAGCAGTCGGTTCGCTCCAGTCAGCCCAGCTCTCAGTTCCGGGCCCCCACCAAGCCGGGGGCCGGGGTCAAGACCTCCCCGTCTCCCTCTAAAGATAACCCCTCGCCAGAGCCGCAGCTCGATGACATCAAGAGAGGTAAGGAGGAGCCAAGGACCATCATCATCATCATCATCATCATCACACATGGACACACAGTGTATTATTGTAGGCAACACTTTACTTAAATCCCACATTCAGCATTTATGAGCTCGATGTAGACATTGTTGAAATGTTTATTAATGCACAGTATCAGTCAGCACTTCTGCAAAGACATTTTATTCTGTGTATTCAGAGCTGCGAGCGGAGGTGGAGGTGATCGAGCAGATGAGCAGCAGCGGCAGCAGCAGCTCCTCTGACTCGGCCAGCGCCTCGGGGAGCGGCGATGACAGCAGCAGCGACGGCGAGCACGACGCCCCCCGACCACTCAACCAGACCTCCCCGAACCGCCTCCCCATGGCCAACGGAGGAGTCGACCGGCAGCAAGGCAACAACCAGCTGATAAACACACTCCGTGAGTATCTTTGATTCTGTGATGACTCATGCAGTCGTTGCTCCTGCTGATGGTGCTGTCACGGCCTGGATCAGAAAGAGACGACGAACATCAGTTAAATGTTTGATGAGCATTTTTCCTTTTCCAATAACAACACATCGTCAGTCTTCAGGCTGCAGATCAACATCCAGATAACACCTCAGTGTCAGTAAACTATGTTCTCACCTGTTTGTCTTGTTAGGAAACGACCTCCAGCTGAGCGAGTCGGGCAGTGACAGCGATGACGAATGAACTCTCCGATGGTCAGTCCCTCCCTCGCTCCCTCCTTCTCTCCACACTCCTTCCTGCCTGGTTCACTTGTTCCTTTGCTGTGCGAGCTGACCCCAGCTGTGTATCTCGGTTTTATTTCTTTTATTTTGATTTTGGCTGGTCGGCCTGGAAGAGCTTCTCAGAGTGTATTTTTATTAGATGTATATTTTGTTTTGTATAGCGAGACTTTAGAAACAGAAACTTTTACTTGAGCGGTTTGGAAGATTCTATATTAGAGTGCAAATCATATTTTCTGTACTTAGAGCAGCTAGTTTTATCTACTCGCATCAGCTGGTTTTGTTGGGTTTGTCTTTATGGTCAGACGTGGAAGTCTTGAAATGTCGCACCTCATCCTTTCATCACGTCACTGCACGTTTACAGAGGTTTCTGGAAGTTTTTCCACATCGTTATGGTGTTTTTATTGGTTTGCTATGAATACAGAAAACAGCAGCATTGCACAGAGAAGCTGTGCAGACTCTGTGCGGCGGCAACACATTAAAGTAAAAACACATCCACCAGGTGTTGAGATCAGTGACGAGCAGAGACACTCTGTGAGCTCTGCCCTCCTCGTCTCAGTGTTCAGTCAGAGTTTTAAACAGTTTGCAGATTATTTCAGGTGTGAATCTCCTTCACTCATAGAAGTGAATGAATGTGTATTAATGGGATTTGTTGACGAGAAGAGAAAGATAGAATCATGTCAGTCTCGTTCTTTAAACTGTTTTTTCATTACAGAGACAGCAGGGCTGCAACTGTACGATAACTGTCTCAGAAAATATCACGGTTTCACAGAATTATTATCAGTCAGAACGACCCTTAAAGGAGTTAGAACTGAAGGGTTATTTTTGGTTAAACCAGAGGTCGGCAGCCTGCAGCTCAGGAGCCACATGCGGCTCTTTGGCCCCTCTTTAGTGGCTCTCTGTGACTTTGACAAAAAATTATATGGAAATGAATCACAGTTATTGTCTTGTATTTTCCAGCTGTATAAACGTGTAGCCCATACACTGAATAAAAAAAAAGTTTAACATCACATCAACTATGTGCGTCACACGTCTACAGCCTGGTGCCTTTTCCTAAAGTTTGAGTCTCCTTAGTGAGGCTGTTGATTCCAAATCTAAAAAGAAAACGTCTCAGAGGAAAATAAAGAATTTCCTCGTGAGTGGACAGATTAGTTTGCTCTCACTACTGACTCTGCAAAGTTTAAGAACCAAATAACCATAAACAGCCTCTGCAGAGAAGCTGCTGTGTTTTCAAACATATAAGTGAATGCTTTTTTAGATTAATGAGGCCGTGTTGCTGACGCTATGAGGCACAAACATGTAGTATGGTTCCAGGCGGATTTTTAAAAAATTCTTTTGGCCAAAGGTGATTCTTTTGATAGTAAAGGCTGCTGACCATAAACAGTTTATTACTATATTTGAAACTTGAAGATCTTTTTTTAAATGGAAGTTTGTGTAAAAAAAAGTCTCCCCTTTTAGAAAAATAACTAAAAATATGTAGAGATTTTCTGTCTACGTAAGCAAACATACACAGTATGATAACCATCAAATTTAATGTCAGGATATACTGTTGCAGCCCTGACAGAGACTTAAATTTCATCTTGCTGTTCTGTAATCATTTCAAGGTTCAGGCAGTTTGAGTTCTGTTCAGTTAAATTATCTTATAGGAAATATTACTCAGATGTCTGACATCGGGCCTCATGACACAGCATCCACAGTTTGGATCAAAGTTTCAGACGTTTAAAGCTGCAGCTTGTGTTCTTTCTTTAACCACTAGGGGGCAGAAAAGACCCAAAATCAGACCTGATGCGTATCAGCTGTGGACGTGTGATTAACTGGGCGAGGAATTAGAAAACGTCTCTGGTCCCCTGCAGAGTTATTCCTCACATCAACCTGGAGAATTTCTCCAAAAACTTCAGCTCACTGTTATAATTTCAGACAAATGTTGGCGACATACTTGTTTATGTGAGTCAATCATAAAGTGCTTTCAGTGCAGTAGGAATCAATATAAACGGTGTGTCGGTATCTCCGTCATCATCTTCCCTCTCGTCCTTTTGCAGCGTCACAATAAATCCCACTGACTCAGTAAAACCACTCACAGTATCACAGTTCTGATGATATTAAAGCGCCCACAGTCATTAAACGGTTCATCAGAGTTAAAGGTCAATAAAAACACCTGAAACCCAAATTATTCATGATGAAGTCTGAGAAAGGGAAAAAATCCTCCAAAGAACTTTAGTTTCCTGTTATTAATATTATTATTAATATTTGAATGACCACTATTTGTTTCACTTTTGTTTCATGTTTCAAACAGAGAACATTTTATTTTTGATCCCAGTTTCATATAAATCTTCTATAACAGGACCATTTCATGCCTTACATCAGCTCAGCTCGGAAAGAAAGGTGAATGTGTCATTTTCTGAAAATGCCAAAGAGTTGAACTCATGTGCAGAGAGCTGGAACGTTCACATGTGTGTGTATGTGTGAGTCAGAGTCATGTCGGTGTGTTAATGTGTTCATTTTGATTTTATCTGAGATGTTAGTGTCGTGCGTACGAGATTGTTCCTGTTACCTACAGGAGCTGCTGGTGTTTATGAAAATCATTTGGTGCTACAGTATTTCATTCGTAATGCAACACAGCGACTCACGTTAAAAAAACACGACTGAAGAGTTTCATTACAAAACTTCATTTCAGGTTAACAACACTTTCATACGTTTTTGTTTCCATCCAGAACAATTAAAGGATGAAACATTGGTTCAGAACGGTCCGAGGAGCTGTGTCCAACGTTCAGAGTCTGGCTCGGATTGATTACACACGGTTCTCAACATGGAGGTGGCTGGGCCAACGATGCTAACAGCTTGTGTCTGCGCCTACAGACGTTTCCTGTCAAACTTTTATTTAAGTATGAAAGTGTTTATGAACATGTTTAAAACCTAAATGTTTTTGAAGTATTTTGTAATGAAACCCTTCGGTCACAGGTCAGATCCAGTTTGGGGAACGCTGTTATAAATGATCTGCTGTCGTATAAGATGTGTTGTTGTTTTATATCACGGCTGTGTCCTCAGACGAGGTTCATGTTTGATTTCTGAGCTCACACAACAGAGACAGAGATGTAAACAGTTACTGACCGACCACAGTACTAAATATAACCAGGACAGTTTTATTGATCCTGCTGCTTCTTCACACAAAGAACCACATCACTGTGTGTCCGTCTACACGCAGGACGAACCATCAGAGAGACGGGTGAATGAAGCAGCCACCGAGACACAAAGGTCGAAACATCCTGTCTGAAATCTGTGACACACGTGTTCAACAGACGTCAGATGGACTTTAGTTCTCATGTTTTTGTTTTAGTGCTTCGTTCATGTGGAAAATGTTTGTACAAATTTGAAGTGTATTAAAAGTGTGAAAATGTATTTAAATACGTGTTTTCACTCGTCATTGTGAACATCGAGTCTTTTTCTTACAGAGTTGTGATAAATCTGATTTCTTTGTCTTGAAGGGGATTTCAGAGGGGACAGTGAAGCTGTGGATACTGAGTCTACATCAAATCGATTCTAGGGTGCACAAAATATGTTAAATTGTTTGTTTTCTATTGTCTTTGCAAATTCCATGATAAATGCATGGTTAAAGCCTGGGTTTCTGCACTAGGGATTTTTATGCCTCTGCGTCAGCGACAGTCGTGGCCAGAGGCAGTATGTTCTCAGGTTGTCCGTCCCATCTTTGTGAACACAACATATGAAGAACGTCTTAAAGGAATTTGACACAAACGTCCACCTGGACTGAAGAATAAACTGATCAGAGTTTAGTGGCCAAAGATCAGTGTGACCTCACAAAATATGTTTCTGTCCATAACTGAATGAATTCATACACTAAATTTGACACAAACGTCCACTTGGACTCAGGGATGAAATTTATTAGATTTTGGTGGTCAAAGGTCACTCCGACCTGGCTCCCATCTCATCCTCATGAATGTGTTATCTTAAGAATATCTTGAGGGATTTTTCTTAATTTGGCACAAACGTCCACTTTGACTCAAGAATGAACTGTTTAGAATTTGGTGGTTGAAGGTCAAAGGTCAGTGTGACCTCACAAAATGTTTTTGTCCATAAGTGAAGAGTTCATACACTAATTATGACCAGACTTGACACAAACGTCTAACAGGATAAAATAATGAAGGTCAAAAGGTCAAAGGTCATCTTGACTGTGACATCATCATGTTTTAACGTCATATCTCAGGAACAGAAGGGGAGACATTTGGTCAGATACTGAATTGGTGACTCTAATCTTGAAACTGTGCTGATTGTATAGATCTTCTGTGTGTGAAGCATCTATGTTTTCACTGACATGGATGGAGACTGAGGGTGTTTCTCAAAGTCAAGGATCCTTCCTTGGTAAGAAGAGTCCTCCCAAGGAAGGATCCTACAGAGACAAGGCAAGAGTCCTTCCCATCATTCAGTGAACACACATTGGAACAGACTAACAAGTGTCCCCACGTGATCGTCATTAATCCTCAGCAGACTGAGGAGGTTTCAGGTACTGTGATCATTTTAACACTCTCTAATGTTGTTGTGCAGTTTGAACAAGTGTCAGTTATTGTCATAGTCACGTGACTTTTAGGGAGAATATATTTCTGGAGTAAGTTTAGGAGTATTTAAGAGTAAGTGAAATCATGAAGTAAAGACAACAGCTAAAAAAGTTCTAAATGATCATTAACAGTGTGAACAACAGACTTAAGCGCAGATTTTTATTGAAGCCTCCACTTCCAGAAAATTGTGCGCAAAGCATTGTGGGGATTTCATACCCACGGAGGATCCACACATGCATCCTTGGAATTTCTCTGAAAGGAGGACTCAAGGATCCTTGACACTGGAGCAGTCCTTCAGCGGGTCGATGACGTAGCAGATCCTTCCTTGACTTTGAGAAACACTTCGTCAGAGAAACCTGACTGGTGGGCGGAGTCATACAACCAAACAACAAACAACACAAATCACAATGTCACACTGAAGCTGACCTTTGACCTTCAGGATATAAAATGTCATCACTTCATTATTTTATCCTGTTCGACATTTGTGTGAAGCTTTGTCATAATGAGCGTATAAACTCTTCAGTTATGGTCACGAGCATGTTTTGTGAAGAAATTCCCTCAAGGTTCAAGATGTTCACAAGAATGAGACGGACGACCTGACAACATGATGCCTCAGGCGTAAACAACGGCTAAATGCTGCAGCATGCATCACAAATTTTAGGAAAAGCTGCCGTGTAGCTAAAAAAAAAAAAATGCTGCGACATCCTGACGGGACAGTTTTAGAGTAAACTTACTTTAATTCTACTTTAACTGGTCCTTAAAACTTTATGGTCTCCAAACTTTTATATGAAGATATTTGTCCTCACAGCTGATCGTCAGAGGTTCATGTCTGCAGGCTGAGTGGTTCAGATGAAGAGGGATTTTCCAGCTCTGAGTGTTTAACATGAATCCTGTTTAGAGGCCTGGAGAGTAAAAACTGCTTCACAGAGAAGAATCAAAGGTTAAAGAGAAGTTTGAAAAATAAACATTATTTAGTTCATAAGAATTTGTCGTTTCTTTTTTTTGTATATGAAAAATCGTTAAATACAAAGCACGAGTGAACAGAGGATCAAGAACGCCTTCAGTTTTCGCGCTGCAGACGTCTTCAGCTCCTTCAGGGATTCGAACCAGCGACCTTCAGATCCGACCTTCTTCTGTGACAGTTATTAAAGCTTTAAACACTGAGCAAAGTAAAGACAGCAGTCAGAGATGAACTTCGATAAAAGATTATATTGCTGGTCTTAAATAATTATCGTCAAGTGAAACATATGTTTAGATGAACACCTTCAGTTTGATACGAACCACAACAAGCTGTACACGGAGCGCAACACAATACAGTACGATTTCCCTGCGATGGAGCAACAACGGAGTCACATTTGGGCATTTCTCTTCAAACAGTAACACAAGTACACAACAAATACATAAATAGCTTTTGTTTCCCTTTAAATCATTTATAACGCATTATATTCATGATTCTGGCTCTTGCTACGACGTGTCATCTGACCGATATATAAATTAACAACATCAACAACAAATAATAATAATAAGAACAATAATAATAATAATATAAAAGCTGTCTGTCTTTCATATAAATCTGGCTAGCTTACAGTATGAAATGAAGGAACAGAGATCACGAGGGCACTTTGATATGATGAGTTTCTCCGCTTTGAATTTCCGTATTCCAGACGCAGATGCTCAGTTTCCCACCTCAGAGAGTTTGTGAGAGAAATGTGGGCGCCATGTTGGCTCTGACAGGAGTCCACCGGCCCAGACTGTTTCCTGAGGGTCCATGGCAGCGTGGTCAAACGTTCTGCAGAAGGTGGAGACAAAAATTTCCACCTCAGGGCCCCTGAGTTTTCTCCTGGGAGTTCAGTTCCTTGACAAGACTGAAATTAGCGCCCCCGGTGGCGGTGACGGGCAGTGACAATGCATAGTTTACACGAGGCACGTGGAAGTCAGAGGCTGAAGGTGGTGGCGACGTTCAGCCTCTCATCCACTGAGTTTTCAGTCCGTCACCGTAGCTTGTATCTCTGTCAGACAGATCTGGACCCTGAGTACTTTGTCACGTGATCTGTCGACCTGAGACCCATCTGTGTCCTCCCAAACCCTCCTTGGCTTGTTTGGCCCCCAAACTGTGATACTTGAGCGTCCCTAACCTGCCCCCCCTCCCACCTGGATCACAAGGGTCACCGTCCGGGGCAGGCCGTGGGTTTGATGCAGCGTCCCTGGAACAGCACCAGGTTGGCGGGGCAGTGGCAGCCGGCCACGCAGGGCTTGTGACACGGCCCGATCTCGTTCCAGTTGTCGCAGGTTTTGGTGCAGCCCGGTCCGCAGGTGTCGTACACGGCGCCGTGTTTACACTGGGTTGCTGGAGGGAGGGAAGGTAGAAAAACAAATCAGCTTTAATGATGTCGATGTGACTCTGGTTACTGATGGCAAGTTTTCTGGTGATTTTAAAATGCGCAGAGCCTGGTATGCATTGCCTTGTACTGCTTTTAGTCATGCTACGAAGTCTTAAAAAGAGCCAGTTTTTGTTGAATATGCACTTCTCCATGTCATCCAGGAAACAACTATCCCAGCAAGAAAGAAATTACAAGTCTTGTTGGTTTAACCATCCTGATCTGCCAGGCAGCGTTTGCCAGAAAGAGATGGGTTTGGTGTACTATTCAACAAAAAACAGTTTTACCAATGATTGTTAGATTTTACAATGTGATGTCAGAAAGAAACGATTCATAAAATCCTACTTCCACTGTCTTAGATTTATAAAAGGACCTCTGAAAGATTGACTTAAGACTGTCACTCACCCAACGGGCTGGGTGATATGGAGAAAATCAAAAAACACTTCTTTTTTTTGAACAAAAACCTCAATATCAATATACTGATGATACCACATGGTTGACTCGCTGCTTTCACAAAATATTTACAGTGATTATATCCATGTTACTGATGAATATCTATCAAAAATCTCTAAGTAGTTAAAGGCAGAGAACAGAACAGCTACAACAGTCTGTTCAGTTCAGAAAATGACATCACTTTACTGTAACGCAGTCTTTAAAACCAGGAAAAGACAACACTTACAATATTACCATATCCAAAATCTAATTTCTACAAAATCTAGTCTCATGTCACAGTATTGATATAACATCAGTACACAGCTCTACTCACCCATGCAGGTGGTGTCGGCCCTCCAGAGGACGGGCACTCCCTCCCTCTCGCAGGCTCGGCTGTAGGCGATGAAGGACTCACAGTAACAGTTTTTATGGACCGGACACTCGCACATGTCCGTTACACACGACCTGCAGAGAGGAGGAGCACAGACGATTCTACTGTTAGCACTCTATTGGACATGGGTGTGTTGTTATGTCATCTTTTGGTATTTTAATTGTCCATTCTTCAGATTTACACCTTCAGAGAGGCACTTTAATAAAAACACTTTCAGAACATTAATAATCGTTCCAGCACACTCAGAGTCAGAGTGAGGCTCTGACCTGTAGAACGGGGCGAAGTCAACCACACGGTGGCACTTCTGAAACTCCCATGACTTTATCTTCTGGCACTCCCGGTGGGCGCGCAACTTGACTTTGACGCTGCCAGGGCACAGGAAGGACGTTGGCCGGCGAGGCAGGTGCTGTTGGGAGCAAACCTCATTTCCCTCGACTCGCCACGACTCGGCAAACTCGTCCACGTCGAACTTGAACTGCCCTTCGCCTCCCATGGTGTCGTCACGCTTGTGGCCGTTGTAGTTGCCACAAAGGCCGCACAGGCGTCCACGCAGGTGGGGGGCAGCCACAACCTCAACAAAACTGTCACCGTCCCAGGTGATCTCCAGACCTGCAGGAAGAGGCGGAGCTTAAT